CACCGCAGCCCCAGGTCCTCCCACCGTCCTGTCTGATGACCCTGCCGGAGCGCACCTGGCTGGACCGCAGCGCAGCCTCTGCGGTCAGTTTGCTCTGCTGTCTCCACGACACTGGTCGCTGAGCTGTAGTCCCTGCGGCCGTCCCCACGGCAGTCACGCCTGTGATCTGCACGTGGCCGTGTGGCTGCTGGGCCGCCCTCCCGGCAGGGCCTCAGGGTTTCCCTCTGCGGGACCCAGTGCCGCAGACCCGGCCGCACTCTCATTTGACAAGCGCTCGCCTCAGCGGCTCGAGCGGGTTCGTGTGTCTCATCTGAGTCACTAGGGCCTGTTCTGGTTGCGTCTGAATCATCCGCCAAGAGCCAGGACAGGGCCGTGCCCGCCCCCCGGCTGCCCCTCGGGCACAGCCTGTCCCAGCCCTGAGTCCTCAGTGATGCTGCCGCACACTTGTGCCGGGGCAGGGCCCCCCCGGTGCAGGAGACCCCCTGGTGCAGGGACACCTGATGGGTGGGCTCTCCCTGTCCTGCTGGCGGCTCACCGGAGCCTCTGGGAGGCTCTGTCACCTGCTGCCGCCCCCCCCCCTTGAGATGGCGCCAGTGTGGATCCCAGGTGCAGTGCTCCTTGACTCTCCCGCAGACATGCTCCTGGACCTCAGCGACCTGCTCCAGGTACGTCCCTCTGAGTCCCTTGTCCTCGGGGCTGCGGGGGGTCCATAGGTGAGGGACACACGAGGGCCTGCTCTCTGGTGGGGGCACTGGACTGGGGGCCCCTGTTGTCCCAGGCTGGTGGCCCAGCCTCAGCACTGGTGGAGAGACCCAGGTGGGACTCGGTCTTGGGCAAGGGCAGTTCTTTTAAAGAAAAACAACGGACTCACGTAGACAGTTTAAACAACCTGCAAACCTGTATCCACAGTCAGTTCAGAGGAACTCGCCTCCTGGGCACCAGGAAGCACCTTCCTGTAGGACAGTGGTTCTCAACTTGGCTGCACATTAGAATCCCCTGGGAATCTTTTTAAAATCCTGATTTCTGGGCCTCGTCCTCCGGAAATTCTGTTTCTTTGTTATGGGAGGGGCCACAACATTAGAAACAAAGAAACAGAATTTCCGGAGGACGAGGCCCAGAAATCAGGATTTTAAAAAGATTCCCAGGGGATTCTAATGTGCAGCCAAGTTGAGAACCACTGTCCTACAGGAAGGTGCTTCTGAATGTGATGGGGAGGCCCAGTAAGGGGGACGGAGCAGGTGGGACACTCGGGGGCGGGGCCGGGCCGTTGAGGTTCTGCATGTCCCCTGCCCGGGGTCAGCCCATGGTGACCATCCACTGAGGGGCCCGAAAGAGAAGTCGTGCCATTGAGGACAGACAGGATGCGGGAGCGGGGTCCCCACGAATCCCACCCCGTGGGGAAAGCTCGCCCCAATCCAGTGTCCCCAGGTTCAGGGCCTGGGCCGACCGGCAGGCAGACTTTCACCTCAGGTGCTGCCCTCCCCCAGCCGCCCGCAGGCCTGGGCCTCAGAGGTCCTGCGGGAAGGAGCCCCGGGGGGTGAGAATGGGCACCGCACGTGCGGGCGCCCAGGGCAGGGCGGCTTCCTCTGTACCGGCACCTGCCCGCAAGGCCGCAGGAAGTGCCCGGGGCCTGCTGGCGGGGGTATTCTGGTAGTTCGTCACGTCCCAGCTTTGGAAATGGGGAGCCAGTCGGGTGTCCAGACGAAGAGGGCGGTTGGAGTGGATGGTCCCGCTCACCGGGGGCCGAACCAGGGCCCACGGGAGTCCCTGTGCTGACCCACAGGTTCAGGCTGGATACACATTTTGCTCAGACCTAAAGCTCCGGGGGGGACCGGTTCAACATGCCCAGGGTGAGGTTCTGCACTCGCCCGGGTGGAGCCTGCCCTGTGAGGGCCTCACCCTGGGAGCTCACACGGCCAGGGCTACCCATAGGGAGGGATGAAGAGACCTAGGGCTAGGCCCCCATTTTGTCCTTATTCACACCCCCCGAGGCCCAGCACTCCCTGGCGGAGCTCAGGGGGAGACCCTCCAGCAGGAGCCACGGGCCCCCTGGCACCAGGGCCTGCTGGGCTGGAGGAGGCCGGACTGGGGGCCGCAGAGGGTTCTTCAGAGGCTGGACAGGGAAGTGCACGTTCTGAAGGAATAAAGCGGGCATTTCCCAATACAAACGCCCCCCCCCCCCCCCCCCCCCGTGGCTCTCCACAGGTGAACGTGTACGTGCTGGGGAAGACGTTCCTCCTGCTGGCGAGAGAGCTCTGCATCAACGCGCCGGCGATAGGTAGGCAGGGCCCGCGCCGAGGAGGGTTGGAGGGGGTTGTGTGCGAGGGCGAGCACAGGGCGAGGTAAGAAACGTGTCCCCGACGCTGCCAGGAGCTCAGCAGTGACCGTTATTTCTGATTTAAAACCAAAATGCTGCAGTCAGTCCTCTGCGAGTGTGGACGAGGGTGTAGACAGAGGGCGGGGGTGGGTGCTACAGCGCGTGGGGAAAGCGCCTGGCAGCCAGGTGCCCGGGCAGGTGGGGCCTCGGCAGATGCACGGCCGCCTGTGTGGTGGAGCGCTGCCAGGAGCACGGTTTTGTCTGCTGGGCAGGCCTCTTCCTGTGCCCGCTGGCGTCCAGGAGAACAGGCCTGGATCACCCAGAGGACGGTCCCCAGGGCCGGGCAGGCAGCGTCCGGCAGGAGGGCCTGGAGGCTGGAGGGCTGCTGGTCGGGGAGGCCCCGTCCCTGCTGAGTGTCGCCGTCCCTCCTCCCTGACCCCGCCCCCCCCCGGGAGTCCTGCTACGTTTCCAGAAGCACAGCAATGGCCCAGGGAGCTGCTGGAGGCCAGAGCCTGCTTCCCTCGCAGCGCACCTGCGGGGGCGTTCCAGCCTGCCAGGCGTGTTCCAGGGGCTGGACCCTGGGAGGGCCACTGAAACAAGTGCAAGACTTCTGGCCTTTTCCAGAGCATTCTGGCTGCAGCCCTGGGAAGCAGCTGCCCAGATGGGGAGGCCCCGCCTGCTGGCAGAGGGCAGATCTGCGCACTCGGGGCCCCTGGGCCGCAGCTGCTTCTGACCAGTGAGCACTGTTACGCACGTAGGTTTCTGCTCCACTGCCGGGCGCTGAGGACCGAGCACACTGCAGCACCTTTCTGCCTGTGGCTCTCACTTTATTAAAACTCAAGAGAAACGATATTAAATGACTTTTCCCAGGCTTTAGATTTGGTGGGAAGGTCTTAAGCTTAGAACTCAGAACAAAATCTAGGAGGGTGGGAGGGACAGCCAAGCCCACAAAGCAGGTGGCGTGGGCACCTCTGGTGGGGTCTGGGCTGCCCTCCGCCCCCAAATCCGCCCTCCACCTGAGTGTGCACCCCAATGTGCAGGAGATCTGATGAGGCCCAGCCCCCTGTATTCAGAACCGGGCTCTGGCCATGTAGAAATGTCTCATTTATACCTCTGGCTACAGCCAGCTG